CTACCACCACCACTACCACCAGCACCATCACCATCATCATCACCACCTCCACCACCAGCACCACCGCCACCGCCACCAGCACCACCGTTTGTCGTTTTCATTATTTGTGAGTTTAGAGGTTTCTTATGGGACCACTCATTTTTTTCGAGAATTGAATGGCACACAACAGGATGATGGGGTTATGCTTGTTCCACGAAATTCTCTGATGCATGTCAATCCATGAAACCACACAAGAATGTTTTTTTTTTCATTTGCTCCACAGAGGTTTTCGCCGGAACGAATGTTCACAATTGTCAAAATAGAAACGACAGTGTTTCCGGAAAACCTAGGTGGATTTCAACTCATCCAAACGCTCGCTTTGCTCCTAACGTCTTGTGCAAGCACAGTGTGTTTGTGTGTATGGGGGGACAGGTGAGGTGTTTTCCGAGTGTGATATAGCATGGACTGGTGGTTTTTCCTCCCTCAAAATCCCAATCCCTACTGGAAATGGGATAGATCAATGAATGGATACTAAGTGATATGCATGCAATCAAGTAGCCGTAACATCCGCAGTAATATGGTCCGTTGATATTGCTAAGTGAAACTGTTTGGCGTAATTCATTCATTCATCATGTATGATTTATATCGTAATGCTTGTGTGCGTGCAATCTATTATCATGTGACCCACACACACACATCTGGACATTACCGACAAAATAATTCCGCCAGTATTGTGTATCCAGTTCGTTCTAAATTTGAGTTCGACCGAAGAAAACGGAATCAAATTTGTCTATGCCTATGTGGAGGAGGGATTGATCGGCTTGAGTCTAATTACAAATATCGTGATGTGATGTCTTATGTCTGTGCTCAGATTATAGTATGTCATCGATAAATTTAATCTTACTGTAGCTAAGTTTATTTTTGTCCATTCTAATATGTCCTACTCTGTAGAATACCAACAATTCACGAGCATGCTTAGCATATTGGACTGAAAACTCAATCTAGGCGAACACTCAAGAGTATGGACACTGAAAATTTAGGCACTAATGTGCTGGGTTAATACTGTTTGGGTCCTAACGGTCCAGGGTAAAAATGTTTGGCCTCGTGTTTACACGGGTTCCTTCGAGCGTGAAGTTGCTTACAGTTTCCACTGCCAATTTAACATTCGATTTCATTGACTAAAAGGAAAAGAGTGTGAAAAAAGCACAACAAGCTGATAATGTCTAGGTTCAAACTAACCGTTCTATTGTGAATTTTCGAAGAGAGATTTCCCTGTCATTATGTGACCCTGAATCGTGTCGATTGGAGAAACGGGGTTACAAATGCAACGGGAGGAATGTACAATCAGTGCTACGCTGGTAATTGAATATCAGCATTCATTCTCCGGTGTGCATACGCATGTGTGTAGGTATGTGTGTGTGTGTTTGTGTGCGTATAGGCGTATACACAGTAGAGTAGAGTAGATGCTATTCACTTTTGGGCACAAAATCCCTCTGGTCCTTCCACCTAATGCATATCCCAGACACGGGTAGCATCTGAGGCCTAATGCGTAAAAGTGCACTCACACATACACACACACACATATATATATATATATATATGTATATATAAGTAGTGGAGTAGTGGCCAATAGGAGACGTGAAACAGGCAGAAGATTGAGTTCAGTCCAAAGCGGCGGCAAAGGCTCTTTCATCTTTTGTCTGTCCGCCAGTGAAACACTAGCATCAGCACCACAATTATCATCACATCGGTCTCACAACTGTGTCCATTTTGTAGTTCATTCCGTCCGAATAGGCTCATTGAGGACTAAACCACATGAATATATTTACCATATTCTGGTCTACCGGGTAATGAAAGGGACGTGCGTATACATCATGGTAGCAACGGTAAAACTCCCCGGTCGGTCAGACTAAACGAGCCAATAAGTGCATGTGAAATTTACCCCGATCCCATCAAGTCCATGAAACGCTCGTGTTGTAATCTCTGTGTTTTGTAGAGAAATCATTCAGGTAGAAAAACTTATCCAAACTGCAAACTGTAGAGAATGTGTTGTTCAGGAAGGTTCGCTGTATTCCTGTGAAATGTTCAATACTAAAACCAGTTAGTTTACAGTTTACAGTTTACGTATTGATTTACAGTTGCGAATAATGTATCTATTTTTCTATCCCTAAGGGAAACGATTAGTTGCATTGCCCAAACGACTGAGAACTTTTAGTAGTATTCGTATTAGTAGTATTAGAACTAGCAGTACATGTAAATTAAAGGCTAACAGAGGATTTCTGTTTGAGGGAAATTTGTATTGTGGAAAAAATATTTGTCAATTTTATTCCACAGAAGTCATGCATCGCTCAAAAGAATGTGATCGGAAGACGCTCAGACAGGAGAATAGAAAGGATCGTGAATCTAAGTAGATACTCTGACAGCATTGATGCTACGGTGAACGGAAGTGAACGGATTAGTTGGGAACTTTACAAACAAACTTGTTATCAGATATGCTTATTCCACAAACGTTTTATCACTGAGTGGCTCTTTTTTGAGTACGGCAAACGGTGGAATTGCAAAGATGATCATAGAATCTTCGAGTAGCAAGCTTGGATTAGAGGCACCAGGCACTCTTGATAGTCTTGGATGTGAGTGAAACCCATGCATTTTATTCCCTGCTGTTCTATCGGAATTTAGAATCTTGGTGGCGTAGAAAAACAGATACGCACAGCTGACGAATTCCAACAGTTTTAAGTGTCCGATCGGCCTCCACATTTTATGTCACCAAAAAAATTAAATGTTTCAAGCGCCCACAGCTGAACCAAGAATACCGTTGATCTATACTCATGCGATCAAGGTGTTGGCTATCGGTCGTGTAGAAGAACCAGAAGGTTCATGGTTCGAGACCCGGCCAGATTTCATCAACAAACTATTGGGGTTAGATACATTTCAATTTTATTTATTCCTCAACGCTTCCTCCCACTGATTATTGTCTGTACAATGAACAAAAAGGAAATACAGTAATTATTTTTACTTAGCTATCTATCTTTTTGTATTGTCAATAAATCATATGATTTGTGCATAAAGATATACATATAAGCGGGCGCATAAAAGAGATACAACTTTTCAAACGGAAAACAAACAATTCAGAATAATAGCAGTCTTAAAATGTTCCCGCTCCCTCACCAAAGCGGGGGGGGGGAAGGTTGTTGATGACGATCGGAATAATTTCATTCGATCAAATTGTACGACCGCGTTGTGGTTCTTGTTGTTGTTATTGTTGTGGCCGAATAACTAGTGAGTGTAATTCATTCATGCATTAAGCATGATGGTGGGAAACCCGGGTACGGGCTATCCCAGCCGCACTGTCGCTTTGGTGTCCTCTCACGGGACCGAATGTACGCACGCACACACACACACACTCACACACACACACACACAAGACAAACACACAAAGCTGTCGCCAAGACACAAAAACGGTCGGTAAAATAGATCATTTTGTTTGATGATCTGAGTCATTCGTCTCCACACTTTACTCCATTCGAGAAAGTAAAAAAACCATACCATAGAATCGGACAAGCATTTTTGTGCAACGGATCGAACCGAACAGGGAATCGTTGGTTACATGTTGAATGGTCGGTCACATTCTAATCCCACCTCCCTCCCCCCACACCAAAATGGTTCTGTTCCACCGTACCACGTCATCGATATCCGTATCGTTCGATAAGACGAAACAACATATGCGAACCCCAAGAGACTGACTGACCGATTTGCGGCGTGTACACGCATTGTTCTGTCATCATCAGTCCCGCGTATGTGTAAGTAGCCAGGGTACTTTGAATGGTAAAGTCTGTAAACTGGTTAAGGGCGCGGGGTAGATACTGTATATATGCTGTTATTAAGCAAAGATTAGTGGACGTTTCTCAAGCTGATTACACCAAAACTACCGTCGAGTTACCTCATTAAATCAAACCGGTTCGGTATGAGTAGTTCCCCGGACATGGGATGATGATGTTTTGGAGACACCCACGAACTGCTCGACTGCACTTCAGTGGTGAGACAAGCACAACACAAAAGTTTATCTGTTCCTGTGTGTGTGTGTGTGTGTGTGTGTGTGTGTGTGTGTGTGCATGTTTGTACGGAAGCACCCACCGCGTGCGTGCGTGGGTGCGCACGAGTATCTCGCCAACACAATGGGCCAGCGGATGTGTGAATGAGGAAGTGTCGTGAATTGGAGGACGAGGAGAAGGAGAAACGGACAGATAGATAGATAAATAGACAGATCGACGGGATGACAGTGCACAAGAGTTTCCCGTCAAAATGGTGTCCCAAAGCCTCGTAATTTCGAACAGCATGGGTAACCTGTCAGTGTGGCGGGGTCAAATGCTAGCCTCTGCTTTGTGTTTGACACTCGGTATCAGTTGTCCCCTTTTCACTACCAGCAATGGCGGGACAAACAAGCATGAACACTTACAGGTCGTAAACAAACTTGGAAGAAAAAAATATATGGACATGACCATCACACTTTGACCGTATTTTTACACATATATCAGTCGATTTCATGCAGAGGAAAATGCATAAATCATGTTACACGGTTTATCGGATTTCTGCTCTCGCATGTGTTTACCGACCTGCCCGTGTGTGAATGAGTGTCTGGATGTCCGTGTAGGGATATATTGCACACATACAGAAAAAAACAAAACAAATCAATTCACATTTATCTTCATGTCCTCACACTTTTGGTACACTGTAACGGGCATTAGTTGGTTAAAATGAGGCGTGATTGTATTTTCGACTCGGGTTTGATGAACGTGTCTGTCTCTGTGTGTGTGTGTGTTCATGTGGCTAGTTTAGATTATACAAAACAGAAAAACGAGTCCTAGATTTGGCCCTGACACAATTCTTTCATGGGAAAGCAAACTACTACTTGGTTGATAACATATACAATCGATTACCAATGTGTGAGTTTCATTAAGGGAGGATTACATGAAAACTTCTCGAAATTCAAATAATTACTAGGGTATGATGGTATGCCACAAGGATACAGATGAATGATAGGTCCTGATTCGAGTCCTGGTTGATTAACCAAGTACTCAGTCTCAGAATGATGTACGCTCCGATTTAGATTCTTCACCACTTATCGGACCTACTAGGAATTGAATAACTAGTGGAT